CTGAACTTCATGAGCTATGTCAGCCAAATATACAGATGCAAGGTTCCCCTTCATGGACTTACAGTTTTCCTACAGAGGAGAGTAAAAACATCCTTGGTAGTAGGACATGACAAGAAGTGATTTGTGTTAGCTTGAGTAAAATCATTGTACTCCGAATATTGAACCTTGCTGATTACCTGAGCTTCATCCCAAGTCATTTTTCTTGGAACATAGAGGATACATTGAGTGGTGGTCCTTGTCCAACCATCAGGGCATCTTTCACTCCACTTCACTCTGTAGGCTTTGTGTGAAGACAAATACATAATAGAGAGTAAGACTGAGTCCACAGGAGGCTCATGAATATGTATGTGCACTTTTAAAGACTAGAGTCATTTATTATTGCAACAATTAGTTTAAAAAATCTAATCTGTTAGAACTGGTGCAGCCAGCGGATCCACTGCTGTTTAAACTGGCCACTGTAATGAGTTTCTGACATGGAACATGTCCTGTTTTACTTCTGTGTATCTATTAGAATTACATTGTAAATATATTACATTAGAAATATACTGAGCACTTACTTGGTTCACTGTTTTTCTCTGGTGCACTTTCAACCTCTGCTCCTAGAAGAGCTGGTTAGAATAATTAACAAATTTTATTTTATTTTAAGGACCAGTGAAATATTTAGTTTAAAATACATGCACTGCATTTCAGGCAGACAGGTAGATGAAAATACAACTCTCATGTCTGTCTTTCATTTTTGTGTAAGTGTTTGAACAGATGAAACTGTCAGCTTCCTGCCGTGTGATTTTATTTTGTATCCACTTCCTTTTCAGTTGCATCTCAGTTATGGACGCTTTAGTTTAATCTGTGTTCATAGGTTTCACCTGCTTCTGATTACTCACACCTGTGTCCAACAGCATATAGGCAGCGTTATCTCACTAGAACGCTGCCAGATTGTTCTTGACTCCAGCTCTGATTCTCCAGCATTAATTCTTGCCCGACTCTCTAGTTTCTGACCCTGGATTGTTGTTTTTTGACCACCGTGTTTTGCCTATTCCCTCCCAGATTCTGATTGCCTGCAGTGTACCGACCTTCTGCTATCTCCTACCTGACTTCTTGAGTTTGGATCTCCTGGCTATACGTTATTACCGGCGCTGACCTTGGACTCTCTTAACGACCTGATTATTATCCTGGACTTTGTATGTTTGTTTGTGTGCAACAAGTAAAGGAATCTTCCTCTACCACAGTTCGTCTGGTCATATAATTGAGTTCACCACAAACACTATTTGGCAGCATCACATGCTAAACCTGAGAGAAACAAACAAGGCATAACATGTTGATTCATGAGCTTTATAGGTGTTGGAAGGTGGATTCTTTTAGACTGTGTCTGCCTGTTTCCAGTCTCGGTGCTAAGTCAGAGTAACCAGCTGCTGGATGTGGCTTTATAATAGGGACACAGACATGAGAGTGGTATTGGTCTTCTCATCTAACACCCAGAGAGAGAGATGTTTAAAAAAGTTAAATAGTAATAACACATGTTCAGTCCTTCAGTAAACAGCCAGTAAATACTCACCATCAGCTCTGTTCAGAGCCAACATGATGCACACACACAAAAAAAGAATCAGGATCTTCATGGTGGAGACGTGGTCGAACGTAAAGATGCTGAGAACCTTTGATAAACAGACAGACGTGTTACTCATGTCGACAGTCAGTAGGTTAAAGAAAGGAGAGAAGGTGATGGGTGAGTTTGAATCAGACC